CCCCCCCCCCCAACAGCTCCTTGATAGACGTGTGCGGCAAGGGCGGGCTACCGGACGAGGCTCTCAACCTCTTCCAGAAAATGATATCGGAGGGAATCCTGCCGAACGCCATCACGTACAACGCGCTCATTCACGCCTCCGCGGGCGGCGGATTAAAACCCGGGGACGGAACTGTTTCGTCCCCTGTTTACGAAGGACGCAGTGGAATAAGGGCTTCGGGCGGTGGCGAAGCGGATCCAGGGGACGAGGGGGGGGTGGTGCTGGGTGCGGAGCCCCCGGGAGGCAAGGGGTTGGGGGGGGTAAGACGCTGGGAGCGCGTGATGCCGCTGATTGAGGAAATGCAGAAGGCCGGGTGCGTGTCCTTCTGCCGACAGCAGCTATTGTAGCTATGCCGTGTCACGACCAGGCGTGCATGTGTTGAGGGGGAAACGAAAAAATGTTGGACGGGTTGGATACGCTGGGACAAGACGATGGTAGAAGCGCTGGCTTGACAGTCTCGTGGAACTGTCGCATCCCGAAAACCGTAGATGTTCCACCACTATCTCATCTTCCCATAGACTAATGATAGTCCTCCAACAGCATGGAACATCGATATTGCATTTATCGTATTTTCAGCCCAGTCCATAAGATACAACAACCCGGCTTGCCGAGCTTTTCTCTGCGAGGCAGTAGCTTGCGCAGGGTTTTTCTATTTTCCTGTCAAGTAAACATGTTGGATAAAGGGTACAATCGGGGAAGTCGGGTTAGGGTTAGGTAGGGACTAGGGTCTGCGTTCTCCCTCCCTGTTCTGTTTCCTCATAAAACTTCAGTTCTCGCGAAGGCGGTCCTGTCGCTCCCTGTTGGCTGAGCGCGAGGGCCGATGCAGTTCCGTGCAACCCGTACCTTTTCATGGCGGTCGCTGGGTTTCATTGCTCGGTTTGATGAGCCATCAGGCGCAACCTCGATGCGCGCAGCTCCGAACCAACGTCGCTAGACAGTCGGACAACCGCGGGCCCTGGTTTTGGCCCTTCGTCTTTTGCACAGGTTGTTGTTGGTGTTGACGTTTAGTGATACCTCGTCCGCTCTTTGACATGAAGAACTGATCCGATCCGACATCAACCTTCGCCATCTACCTACACGTCTCCGATTAACGTGATATCTACCTCCGTTTGGTCAACGAAACAGGTACCAGCCCGACCTGCTCAGCTTCAACCTCGCCCTGTCTGCGTGTGCGAGAAGGGGAGACGCAAGTAGGACGCTTCGTCTGCTGGGGGACATGAGACGGGCGGGCCTTCTGCCCACCACGTACAGCTTCAGCTCGGCAGTGAAGTCATGCGAGAGGGCCGGGAAAGCGGACGAGGTATGGTTGATCTTCAAACGCTAACTACATTGCGCGCCGTAGGTTATGTGTTTCACGCTAATAGCGTACCGTGCAGTAGTATCGCTTCCGTGTCAGGTGGAGCCGAGGTATGGATGGTGTTCGGAGGCATAACCCTTTTTTTCGTGTATATATTTTGTGCGTGAAAAGCAACAGTGGTTAAGCAGAAGCCGGAACCGTCTTCGTCGTGAAAGCAATAACAAGAACCGACAACAGCGGGAACAACACCTTATCGTGACAGCAACAAACCATTTTAACACGATTCGCTTAGGTTTTCTCTTTATACCCCGGCAGGTGCTGGCCCTCCTGGGCCGGATGAAGTCAGGGGGCGTGCGCCGCACCCTCGTCACCTTCAACTCCGCACTCCTCGCCTGCGCTAAGGTGAGTCGATGACCCCCGTTGCCGTTTTGTATCGGACCCTTGTTGTTGTTTTTGTTGTTGTTGTTGTTGTTGTTGTTGTTGTTGTTGCTGCTGCTGCTGCTGCTGTTGTTATTTTCTGTTCCAGGACATAGCTCATCGTGATAAGAAATGAGGGCAAGCACCGCGGAAGGAAGACGGAGAAAAAAAGTCACTCGTTTGTGGCTGTACGATGTTCACACACACTTTTTTCGCGAACCGCCGCACTTTTTTGCTGTCTTGGCAGGACGGTAGGCGAGAAGACTCCCTCCGCATCCTGTCGGAGATGAAGAACGAAGGCGTTTCCCCTGATGGGAAGACTTTCCGCCTCGTCATGCAGGCTTGCGGGTAAGCAGCATTGTGCTATTTTTATTTTGTAGTGTACATCCCACAGAGAGACTCCCCATAGAGAAAGTGCCACAGTCGATCAGTCGATGGGAATGTGTCGCAGTCTTGGAAGCGAGTGGGATAATTTGCTATTCTTGCGGTTGTTTTTAGCCAAGAAGGTACGTGTGTGCGCGGACTCAAGGCGACGGGGGCGGAAGCCTTTGCCACTCTTTGTTTTTGGTATTCGTTTATCTCGTCTTTCTGACTTTTTGCAAGCCGAACAAACGGAAAAGTGGACTTTCTTGCACGCACATTCGGATCTCGCGTATCGGCTACACGCCACCCCATTCTCGCCGCATACACACCGACGGAAAAAAAATCGAAGGCGTGCCGGAGACCCGGCCGGTGCTCTGGTGATTCTGCGGGGCATGGCAAAGGCGGGGATACCGCCGGGGGATCGCTCTTTCGCGTCGGCAATGGAGGCGTTTGCTTTGGCTGGGGACGTCGACACCGTGCTCTCCCTCATGAAGGTATATTTGCTGATGGCAATGCGCGTGCGAGCAGTAGTTTATTGGACCAAGGAAGAGGCCCTTGGCGCCCAAGCGCTATGTCGAAGTCCCCCTAGAGCGAAAGAAACGCCTTGAAATGTGAATGTTTTTGCTATTCCCTATTTACGCCAGTTGGTGGTCTTTCATCGGTCGTGGTAGCGCTCCTTGGCGCTCTCTAACCTGACACTTGCCACATATTTTGCGAAGTCCAGAATATCTAGTAATGCCATCGCTATCGAACAGAGTGTAGGAATGCAAACAAACTACACAAGGCGAAGCTTACGTGTTCGTTGCTTTTTCCTTATTAACGAAACAGTAGTAGCCGCCAACTAATCCCCATCCTTCCAACTGGGGCAATACGCTCGGTTTCTGTGGCGCTAGTACTCATGGAACACTGCCGTCACCACCCTTGCTTCACCTTCCAACAACCTCGAAAGACAACCCTCCACCCTCATTCCGAAACGCATATTTTTGTTGTTGAAAACGTTCCGTGCGATGAATACGAAACCCCAGGAAGCGCGGGCTGCATCCCTTAGCGGGGGCGGAAAGCCGTACTGGTCGTGCACCCTGACCGGTGCGAAGGCATGCGCGGCTGCCGGGAGGTCGGCGGACGCCGTTGGTCTGTTGCGGGAGCTTCCCCCGGATAGCGATGACGACCTATGTCCGGACCGGAGGTCTCACCCGGTGGCGGTGGTTCTTGAGGCGGAGAGCGAGACGCCCGCTCGGCAAGGGTACCAGCAGCAGCAGCAGCAACAACAACAGCAGCAGCGACCCCTCCTTGGTGCTGATCACGCCCCAGAGGCCGCCTCCGCCGCCGCCGCCAACATCACCAGCAGCACCGCCTTCTTCACAACCGTGGGGAGACGGGAACGCGCGTGGAGCGAGACCCTGTGGTCGGCCGCCGCCAACGGGCAGGCGTCAGCGATGCTCGAGCTGCTGGTGTCGATACGGGAGGAGGAGGAAGGGCTCCTTAAGCTCACGGGGGCACACTACGTCTACAACAAGGCCCTGCGGCTGCTAGCTGATTCGTTCAGGACTGCGGGGCCGCCAGGCAGAAGCACAGGGAGCGCACGCAATTAACTCAGCAGATATTATATTGATGAAGCCTTCAAATACCTTTTAGCATCATTTGTAAGCTCGGTTGAGAAGAGAAACCCTACTCATCACCTGTGTAGCGGCCATCCGTAGTATGGCGTTAGGAAGTAAGAACCCCAAGTCTTGAACAAAGCTAGAGGTGTTCTCAAGTGCGGGCGTTTTTTGTAGTCCAACAGCGGGCTGTGTCCTTTGTTGGCAACCAAATCATGATGCGTACCCGCAACGCCTCGTGTTTGCTGGGCGATGTGAATTTATTGGCCGTTTCATTCAAGCATACGTACGGTTCACCGCGCCTTCTCTCCCTAGTGTGCACGGCAGCGTTCTGAAGCCAATGGCGTGAGTGAGAGGCTGTTTTATAGGTGGAGCGAATGTTCGGGCTTAGAGCGTAGATTTTTTTTTTTTTTACTTTTGTACTGCTGTGGCTGTGGTTGTTGATGATTGTGTTGGCTTCGGTTAGAGCTCGTCCTTGCTGGGAGCGGTCGTTGGGCAGACGAGCGCACGTGCTACATTCATCGCAGGTTATTGCAAAAAATATGCATTGTATGAATCTGAACAAAACACAGACAAAGTAGGCGTTTTTCTTGCAGTCGTGTTGACGGTGCAGTCGATAGAGGTGGCCCACGAATCTCGTAGTTTTTTCGATTAATGTTTGACCTCCGGGAAGAACAGTGACTTTTTTTTTTATCTAGAGCAAGCAGCAGGCACGAAGAGCACCGTTAGCTAACGGCCGTTGGAGAGGGACTGCGATCTTTGGATCGGAGAAATGGCTTAGTTAGAAATGAATCCTTGGTGTCGGCGAAGGTCGAGGGCTACTACTACTTCTGCGGTAGTTGAAGAGATGAGGAGATGCCGTGGCGAGAAGGCAACAGTATGTAGTGGCTTTTGGGTTGCGTAATACTCGAGTGGTTGACAACAGGCAACAGTGAATGAAGGGAACGACAATGTACATCAGTGTCCGTCGCGGAAATTCTCACAATATGTACAGAACGCGCCCGCACTTACCTCTTGGTGTCGGACATGGCTGAGGTTCTTACTGTGTTCCTGTGGTCATCCTACGAAATGCCACTATTTATAATATACCAGGTTTTTGTGTAGGGGTTCTTAACCGAGCTCACAAATGGTGCTCGAGTTCTGACAAGAATTCTTTTTTCTGGGCTCAACTTCTTCATTCCTGGGCTCTTAATCTGAAGTGCGGGTGCGCTTCTGGTGTCGACTTTTGACCCCACTTTTTTTCCTTCTCGCGGAGAGAGGCAACTAGAGAGGGCAAATGGAGACCTCTTGTGCGCAGAAAAAAAATCTTCGCGCGCGAAGACAAGCGAAGGAGGAAAATAATGATCATGAGAGATTGATGGAGACCGCTCGTCGTGCTTCGACAGACAAAAATGCTTCGCTCGGAGGGAACGTTGACATTTCTGTGCAAGTGTGTACAAGTCTAGGCGTTAGGGCCCTTGGAAATAGGAGACGCAGCTGAACGCACTTACCCCCTGAACAATCAAGAACCTACATACACGCGGAGGGTCCACAGAACCCATCGAAGCTTGCACCATATCCAACTCTCCCCAGGGTGGTATCGGGGGGCGACCATTCTGCAGAAATACGTTGCTATATTGTAGACTAGTGACCTTCGGTTTGGGTTGAGTCTGTCTGGTGTTCGCGCGAGGACAAAGAAAGGCGATGGAATTGATCATCTGCGCCAACATGGTCAAGTATGCGCGGGGTCACATAGGCTAGAAGAGTAAGCATTCCTCGTCGATTGCCAAGTACCCGCAGTACGATGCAAATGCCCCACCACGCGAGCGAGCGACCGGAGAACATGTATATCTTTTCCGCACTTACTTGTGCAAACAACCCAACAGTAGACTGTCCGGTGTGAACAAGTGCTTCTTTGCTGTTCCAGAAGCGACACAAGGTCTACAAACGCTCGCCTTCGTCCCTCCGCGGGAACGACACCACACTTACTTTCGCGCCCAGCTTTGTTGCAAAGACGCGTTTTGTGCCATCTTTTTCACCGATCTAATTTGTCCCCAATTTGTCTAGGCATGCGGACGGTGCTTCAGGGGAAGCTAGACACCACACCACGCGATGAGACGTTCGTCGTTTCATGCATTTGCGTGCCGCCGTTCTTGGCGGGTAACCTTGTCGTTGCCAACCGTGGCATTGATGGTGTTCCTTCTCTGGATCGGCACCACAAACGCTTCGACGGGCACAAGCGCTTCGACGAGCACAACAAGTGCTTCGTGCGAGGATAGCGGCGACGGGTGGTGCGATTCCAGTTGAGTTTCAATGCGAATGCGCGTTCGTGCGTTCGTCGAAACTGCAAGGTTAACATCGAGCACCATCTGATGATCCAGGAATTGCTGCGTCAAAACCCAAGCTTTAAGTTGTTTGGTAGCGAATCGCTTGTGTGGGAGTCTACAACCGCAACCTTTTCTTGATGTGGAGAAGCGAACCACCAACTATTGGTTTGTGTTTGTTGCTCCGACGACACTACCCCTACGCGTAGGACGATCAACCCACACCTTTCAAGAAGTAACGTTGACTTGACCTATTTTTCCGTCGCCTCGGTGTCATGTACATATCTGTCAGAAAATAACTACGCGCCTTGCGACTACGATGGAGGGGACTGCTGCGAGTATTCCTGTCTGTGCGGATGGAGCTACGTTTCGTACGGGGTGGTCGGGTACAACTGCCTTGATCTCAGTGCTCCCGAATACGATGAATACAGCGAATACGATCATGACAGAGACGTCACCGTCTCTTTTGGGGGTAGAGTCCTAAACTTCATCATTGGAGGCGTCGTGTTGATACTAATCTTTGGGGGCTTATGTTCCATAGTCAACAAAATATGCATGGCCAAAAAATTGGTGTAGCCATAGTTCTATTTACCAGGGGTAGAGGCCGAATATCCAAACAGATGGCGATGAAAGACCCTGAATATCCTTTGCTACCCGCTGAGGACATGTGTGTGGAGGGTGAGGGCCCGCAGCTGGTTTCGCACGCAACATTTTACAGGTGCGGGGTGGCCGTGATGTCACAGCTCGTGCTTTGGGGGCTTGGGGAAGGGCGTGCACTCCCGGAGAGGGCATTCGTACGAGCTATCGTGGCCTGCCTTGCCCGCTGCACCGGCAACACGTCTTGGTCGCAGAGCTTCAGCTACAGAAGTCGGTGGTCAGGATATCTTATTCTTGTGAAATCCGTGCACATGCTATGGCCCCTCGTTACTGACGTTATGGCGTTGTGCGCACTTGAGGCGGACGTCCAAATATGGTTCTTTATCGTTTTGGGAACCAGTATCTGCTGCTGCAATAGTGCCTGCACCATGGCGCCTGGTGAAGGAGGCCTTGTACATGTAGTCGATGCCGTATTCAACGGGGTTCTAGGGACCTGGGCCAATGTGGTACCGTCTGGCATGGTCTTTGGGGTGGTGTTTGCGTTGCTTCCGGCTTTTGAATATTGTACTCTCTTCTTGAGCTTTCCATTGTTTGTAGTACGCTGCCTGTACAGCAGCATGGTGGTTGAACATTTTTGTTTCCATGTCGTCACCTGAGGCGCCCACGAGGTCGGCGGGCGTGTATAAAGTCTGCCCCCTCCCACGGCTCGGCGTACTTGCTTGCCGGATGTCGTATGTAGTTTGAGTTGGTTCAGGGTCAAACATTGGGGAAAGCAGGCAGCGTCTGGGTTTGCTCTTGATTTTTCTCGTGTTCGACTTCTCGAAGCATGTATGCGAGGATCGGTCGTTCAGGCAGCCAAAAGAGTTGTCAAACCAAAAGCTGCAACATGTGTCGCAGACATCAATTTATCTCTCTCGTTGTTCCTGGTGGGAGCTACATACTCTAGGTACGTTGGCGCTGTGGGAATCGATTCATCCCCGTTCTTTTAAGTGCGGCCAACTCTAATATTGTACCCGAGAATGTCCCTCCGAGGGCCTGTTTTCGATTTGTTTGTCGTCCTGCAGAGTATCATCGAGCAATCATCGATCGAATTGGATCTTACTAAGATCCAACGGATTGTTTGGTCACGCATGATTCCATCAGGGTTAGAGTCGCGGATAGAATCTATCGTCACAGTTGATGGGGTCGCGTAGGGTCGCCTGGAACCTTAAGAAATGTTGACGCCAGTTGGAGGGCGAAAGGACACCTTGCTCCGTACTACTCTTTCCACACGGGGGGATGTACCTACAGGTTAATTCATCGCCACGATAACTCGCCCCGTCGTGACATTCCTTGACCTGCTGTTATGGAGGAACAGAGAAATAAAAAGGGAAGGGAGCAAGTCCGTTGTTCCCAGCTTCGGGTACTCACAGTTGTTGTTTGATCTCTATTTGTTTGCCTTCGTAGACCAGGTCCGCCCAGCGCCCACTTGGAGAGTGAGGGAACGGGGCTGGGATTTTGATCCTCCTTCAAGCTACTTCAATACCCCAAAACGACGTCAAACATCCATATCGAACGATAGTTCAGAATATCCAAGAAGCGCTCTTAAACGATCATGCTACGCTCATACAACGCTTACACTAGTTCCCATTTCACTGCCGCCCCCCCTTTAGCGCCTCGCGTGAAGCGGACGCAAACTTGTTTGGAAAGATTACACCCGGAGAACAGAATATCCAAGGAGCTCTCATCAAACGGTCATCCTACGCTCATCCTACGCTCATACACTAGTTTCCATTTCACTGCCGCCCCCCTATAGCGCCTCGCGTGAAGCGGACGCAAGCTTGCTGGGAAGATTACACCCGGAAAACGGGCTCCGTGAAGTGTAGCGAAACGGTCACGGTCGACGTATTTGTACATCAATTGAAGCTGTACTTCCCCCAGTATTGGTTGACATCGTACAGCTCGTCCTTGTTGTCTGCGGCCGCCAAGTACCCCGTGATCAGGTTCTCGTCCACTATATGCCTTGAGTGTGTCCACATCGACGGTGGGCATCGTATGGGGAGTGATGCACTTGATGTCTGCGAAAATCCCACACATCTGCCCCTCGTACGCTACCTCAAGGGGCATGAGTTCCTCACTTCTCGAAAGGTGATCTCCCTTGGCTCGCACAAACCAGTGCGCCATGTCCGCTCTCTGGTCGAAGAAGAATATGAATTTTGGTTGCCCCCACAGCGTCCTCTTTTTGACGGCTCCGTTTTTAGAGCCTGGGAGGCATTGTCCTCTTTTTCCTAGTCTCGTCGGGCTACAGTACATTTCTTTGATTTTCCCTTGTTCTCCATTTGTGGTTCCGCCTTCTTGCTACCGATATATTTCGAATAAGGCCAGGTTAATGCCCACGGCGCTCGCCATATCTAGTCTACTCCTCGTCTGCGTTCTTTTTGGGTTTGCCATTTTGTTACTTCTGCAGGGAAATGTGCTCCGCCTGGAATCTATGCATCGATCGATTTTCGTGTGCGCCATCATCGCAGCTCATCTTTTCTCATCGTGGGTCTTCTCGGGTTTGTTCGCCGTTCATTGCTCTGTGGACTCATGTCGGGACGTTCAGCAACCACATTCCACCCAACACCTTGCTTTCAACACCGGCGGTTTATACCCGGTCGGTACTGCCCTCGGTCATGTCTCTGTCGTTCCATAGAAAATCGCGGTAACTTGAATTTACCGTCACGACATCCGAATGGTTAGCGCCGACACGATCGACATCGCGGTGACTTCGGGGGTTGGCATACCTCCCAATTGTTGCCACCCATGTCAAGTCACGCCGGTGACATCGGTGTTCGCATGCCGCTCCCCCGTCTATTTGTATCCCACCGTACCCATTTTGAACAGCTGCCAGAAAAAACATCTCTTCGCATCCTTTTCCATCCACCACCCTCCCTACCATACACATATACCACATACACGTCGGGAACCAAAACAAGAACAAAGGAAGGGCTTCAGTTGAGGACGGGGCTACCCTCGGGGTGTTATCAAGAGATCGTTGCAACCAAAGGTCCAAGTAGAGTGTGCCCCCCTACGCGAATGTGTCAAAGTACATGAGTTGACCGCCTTACCGCAAAACCAATCATTAGGGAGACGATTATTCTCGGCGGAAAAAATCCAAGACAGCCGATGGGATGATTTCTGACACCGTTCGCCTGTCTTGGGTATGCCGTGCACGCGCGTTGCGTTGACCCAGATAGTAAGCCCAGTATTGTGAGATCGTGCTCTGCTGCTGTCAACCCTACGCTGCGCGTGAACGACGAAAGGAAGCCACGAGTATCGACAAGACAAGACGCACGGCCGACGCACACACACACATAGGCGTTGGCTTTTAACTTGTGCAATCTTTTTCTCTTAACCCAACAAAGGAGGAAGCTTGTGCTCTCCTCCATAGCCACACACACAACGAACGCGCCTTGAGTCAACGGGTAGATACACACACATCGAACAAAACGGCATTTTGTGGCTGGCTGGCCACAGTGGGAGAGAGGACCTTCCTCCATAGCCACACGCACAATAAACGCGCCATACATGTACACAACGAGGACAACGGATTTTCGTGGCTGGCAGCCCACGGCAGCCGGAGAGAGAGGGTCGCCCCCCGCGAGTGTGGCATCTAGTCGATGAAACCGAAGTCCTTAGTGGGCCACACGCGGAGCAACACCGTCCCCAGCACGAGGGCCTGCGGTACCGAACCAAAGTTCCGAGAGTCTTTGGAGTTGTCCACGTTGTCGCCCGCTAGCCAAACGTGACCCTGGATTGGAGCAGCAGGTGTGATGGTTTTGGATTGAGTTGGAGTTGATCGATTGAATAATTCCCGCCGGAGCGAAGGGAGGCTGGCAATGACAACACCATTTAGCATCTCGTACTTGGAACATCGGAATAGCAATGCTATTTAGGCTTGTGGGAAAGATCAGACCCCAAAAACGCGAAAGGCAGGTTGGGTACAGAGTAGATACAGGAAGAAGCCGGGAGACCGGGGGGAGAGAGAGACAACAACAAAAACGTGGTGATCTGAACGGAGATGCTGCACAAGCGGCGCTGGATTGGGGTCCAAGTGGGCCGGTGGGGCGTGACACGGGGGAAAGACGCTGAAAAAAAAGAAATAACGACGCAGGAACAAACGAAAACACCAACGGGGACAATCCCAAAAGTGAGCGCAAGAGGGTGGAGCGGTGAATATCAGGAATGACAGCTCGAGAGGCGGCTTGATCTCGAGAAATACTCTATCCATCGGTGGCTCGCTGGGTTCGATCTGACGGACGTGGTCGAAAGTCGAATGAACAATAAAATGAGACAAACAAGGCAAACAAGCCATGCTGAGACTTCGTGCAAAAATATTTTGTCGTTTTCTTTCGCGCAATCTTACAAGAGGAATGCGTAGGAAGAAAGCGGAGCTTGTTGGCCTCGGTTCATTCTATTCTCCGCACTGAACGTTCCCACTGTTGTTTCATTGATTGTGTAGAATCGAAGCGAAATGTCGTCCGGGAATTCATCTTCTGCTTCAGGTTCGTGGTTGGTCATACAAGTCACATAGAACTTCGAATCAACATAAATCAGCATCAACACAACCTTGATACAGTAGCGAAAATACCGTCACCACCAAAACAACAATCTGCACAGGGTTCCTGCATTTTCACTCACTTCCGGCACCACCTCTGACCGCTTTTCGATCCCTTGACTATTGTGCACGTCCCACTCGGGGGGGCGGACCTGCGAGTGGGGAGCGCGGGATGGAGGTTGTTGCACCGGTCGAAAGAAACAGGAATGGCTGTATGTGAGAGCCAGTGCCGTAGCAAGCATGTTCTTTCGGCGAGACAATATTTGAAATGACGTTTTTCTGAAAGAGAGACACAAAAGTGGAAGGTTGTGTGGTACAACCTGGGGTTTAGTCAGAACGGTTGGAAAGACCCAAGTAGGCACAAACGGCTACGCGAGGGATCTTTGAGGGATGGAGTTCGGGGAAGTCACGCTGGCTTGCGGGCCCCACGCCAAAGATGAGATTATTAAGCTCCGGAAACTATGCAAACACCAGCGTTTCATCATACACACCTGGGAATATTTCGGTGTTGATGAAAGCACAGAAGTCTACCACCACAACCAGGACCTCGACGGTCGCCTTCTTTTCCCTCAAGGCCTCAACGAGAGCTAGTGATAACACCCTCTTGGAAAAACGTTTGGTGACGATGGCTGAAACTCTGAGTTGATTGCCACCGGCCACATGGGCCTTGTCGTCGTCTTCTCGTGTGGGGTTCAATATTTTCGTATCTTAGGTTTACGTGTTGGACATTGCCTGATGCGAGAGTCAACCAACACGCCTAGTAAACGACGACAACACCTCCACCATTGCCGGGTGGCGAGTGCACCCAACACTCGCAGCACGCCAAAACGACGAGTGGGGTAGCGACGTACAAGGCTCACCGAAATCGAATCTCCTGGGAGCCCCGTGACTCTCTTAACCACCAGCCTACCGATCTCGTGGGGTGACTGCACGAGCACTATCTGTCCGGCCTCGATCGTCCTGCCGGGCCCGCCCATCTGCAAGCCGCGTGAACGCCAAGCTAAAGTTAGCCGTAGCACAACGCTCCCACCGTTTAAACAAACCGTCGACCAAATGAAGTCATTCGTCAGCATTGTGCGTCTGACAACCTGGTGTCTTTCCGTGGTCACAGGCCAACGACCCCCAAAATTGGGCACACCATTCTGGAAACAAAAATGCCTGGATTTGCACAAAAAAATAATTGTGGACACGGAGAGCAGACGGCGACGCCGCCGGGATATTCCACGCTCAAGAGCGCCGTTGACGGAGCGCCGAAAAGACGGCGAGAGACTCAAGCAACAAGGAAGGAGACGCAAGTCCGAACAGCTCCGCAAGGGTGGACGACACCCGCCCACCGGCTACGGAGACACCCTTGTCAAAGAAATTCATGACCGATTGTTCAGGGTGATGAACCGCAAGGGAAACAACGCATCGATGGCGTCAGTTGCACTCGTTGTTGTGTTCATTTTTCATTACCCACGTCCACCGGGATCCGTCATGGGTTTAGCTCGCCACCTCTTTCGAGGTAGACGATGAAAATCTGGTGTCTGGAGTACACACATCAACAGCTTGCCCATTTCCTGGAACCGAGGCACGAGATCTATCTTCGGGCGGACCAACAACCAAGCAGTTTTTCCACCTCTTTTCGGGTGCATGCGCCGCCCACGCCTTCGCCGTTCTGAGCGTGTGCAAACTGCTATACTAGAGTCAGACGAACACCTATGAGAGAACAGGAGCCCACTGCACCAACTACCCTCAAAAAGACACATCCGCAAACCTGATTGCTGTGCTGATATGTACGTAGCTCTGTAAATAAAAAAAAAACGCCATGAAGTACAGCAGTTTGTTGACCGACCTTTACAGAGGGCTTGAGGAAACCAACTGACCTTGTTGACAAGGAGCAAAGAATTGTGCTCGATCGTTGGTCTCATGGACGGACCATGCACCAAGCAGGACTCTACAACATACTCCTGCAGGCAATGATACGCGCACACGAACCACGCCATTTGCCGGACAAACTTCGCTCCTTCTTGACCCCAGCTGCTGCTGCTGCTGTCTTGAGGTCCACCGCGGTCCTGGTGCTTCTGTTGTCGGTGCTGCCGCTGGCGCCCGTTGGCTGGTTTTCCGCCGACAACTCGCGTACCATCTCTCTGGACGCTGAAAAGCCGCCGACTGCTGCTGCTGATGCTTCCGTGGAGCACCTGCTGCAACGCTCTACAACGGCCCGGGGAGGGCCGCATCCTTGAAAACCGTAGGGCGGACATTGCGCCTACCGCGGCAGGTCGGGGTTGGCAAACAAACAGAATGAGACTTCTGGAGCAATGACGAGGCGTTGAAGGAGAGGGTCCGTGAGCACCTGGGTGGTCGGCTTGGGATGCCAGGGAAAGAAAACGTGCAGCAGCAGATGCCGAACAGGGGGCTAGACACACATACATGACCTGTGTTACCTAGACTCTGTTCCGGTGCGGCGCAATATGTTTGCACAAATCTCCGAGCAGCAACAAACGGTGGTTCAGGTTTCAGGTTTCGAGAGGTTCTGTAGTACAGCCGCTCGCCGTGGGACTACTGCTACCGCTGTACGACGGTTGTGCATGGGGAGCTCCTTGGGGTATGGTGTATACAAGGGGAGAAACACATAATAGGACCGAGGCGGTATTCATCATGGGGTGCACGCCAAGTTCTTTCCACCTTCCTCCCGCGGACGAGATGTATCTTGTCGTCGACCAGTCTACTGATCGGCAGCAGTTTCTCACGCTCCTTTTCAGTCCTGTCAGACCTATCTCTCGTCTCGCGCATCGCCAACCTCTCAGACTCCTCGCTTGATCTCTGCGTACCCAACCGCAACCCAGCATTTAATCTATGGATCATACGCGCATCGCCTCGAATCCGCGCCAGTTTGTTTCATTGGCACAGGCAGGTCCCGCAACACCGCCGTTGTTAGAGCAGCCCACTCCCATGCTGTCGATCGACCGCAACGAGAACACAAAATCTTCACTTTGAGTGAATCAATTCGACTTCTCGCCTCCACCATCCCCACTTCGCGTGAATCGATCTACAACACATTCTCATCTCGAAAATCCTTCTACAGCAGTAGCACTTCTCTCCTATCACCCATCATTTATTTCCGACCGAACTCCCCGCTGAATCTCCGACCTCTTTCCTGTTTCGCGCACACCGCACACACACTCCCGCACCACCAAGCTTGGCACCACTCACATTTTGTTGCTTCATCGTGGAAAGGCCAATTTCACACAGCTACAGTAGTGTTAAAAGACCGCAACACACGACCATGCGTTTTGCCAGTGCGGTACCCGTGGCCTTGGTTGGTCTAGCGTTTGCCTCTGCGGAAGATGACGGGGGAAGCAGCCGACAGAAGCGGTTAGCGGTTCTCTGCCCGCCTGTCGACAACGAATCGGACGTTGGGCAATTGCCCGCAACCTGCTCGCCCGGGGAGATGACGACCAACGTAGACCTGTTGGTTTTCGAGGGGTCCGCGTTTGAGATTGCTTTTGCAGCATCCCGAGACCGGAATCATTGCTTCGGAAACGTGCTGATAATCCGCTCATACGCTGACAAGGAGGTAAGCGCGAAGCTGTCCACAGGTTGTTGCTTTGCTGGCCTGTGATGCCGCGTGTGTCGTGTGGTAGCTGTTGAGAAACACGATGACCACTAGACTACTAGTCAGCGCTGACTATTATATATAAATATATATAATAGTAGTCTAGTGGTCATCGTGTTTCTCAACAAACGTTAATACCCGTGTCCAGTCAAGCTTTCAAGCCACGAACACATCCCTACACGGTTGCCATCCCTGTACTCCGCACTGTGCTTGCCAGATCGATACAAGCAGGTCATCGGCTCATTTTGCGAAGCCAGATTCCTTAGACTTATTATTCCCATATTTCGGGCGCAAAGTATTTTATGCCGTTGGGGAGATTCGAACCCCGGACATTAGCTTTTGTTGAGAAACACGATGACCACTAGACTACTAGTCAGCGTGTGCGTTCCGCGTAGAGAAGGTCGAGAGGAAGCCCATGACCGCAAACGCCGGCCGCAAGAACCTCAAGGCCACCGCCAAAGTTTTCGTTCGCCACCGCTGTTGCTGCTGATGATGCTGGTGCCACTATAATACCCTGCCACCTGATTGGCTAGCGAGTAAGAACGTCACCGCCGGCTTCGTCGGTGCTCTTCTTTCTGGCCTGCCAAGCTTCCGAACGGTGTCGGACATGGGAATCGGTCACGTCGTGTCTAGTGGAAAGCTTTGCACTCTGTGCTTCGATGTGTTGGCTTGCCAAGGCGCTAGAAGAGTTGTTTGGTGCAGTCGGTGGCGAAGAGAGCTTTTAGCCAGTCTGGATTTACGTCTTCATCCGTATGATTGTGGTGGTGATGTCTCTCGGTGGCTGAATAACGAACCCGTTGCCGCGAAACAATAAAAAGTGTCCGGGGTTCGAATCTCCCCTTGAGCATAGATTTGTTTTCGCCCGATGTATGAGGAGAAAGAGTCTTTGAGACTTCGCAACGTAAGCCAATGAACCTCTTGTACCGATGCAATTTCCGGGCAAGACAGCGCTGATCACAGGGATGGCAACCCTTGGGGGACGTGTTCGTGGCTGCAAAGCCAGGTCGGACACAGGCGTTGACTTTTGTTGAGAAGCACAATGACCTCTAGACTACTAGTCAGCGCTGACTATTATAGTAGTCTAGTGCTCATCGTGCTTCTCAACAGTAGCCAGCGTGCTTTAGCGCTTCTGCGGCGTGGCATCTGCATCTTCTGTAAGTGTGAGAACGTACTCTTTCTTTTAACTCCACAGGTGTTTTTTCAGAGTACCAGGGATCACAGGTGTTCGTTAAGAGTTGTTCCACCAATGAACGTTCCCTTTCCTCCGAATCCATCCCTAAACACGGCAAACGGCGGGGAGTCAACAGAAACACGAAGTGCACTGCAATGTAGTCTTTCGCAGCAGCATTTTCCTCTGGGTGCGACGATGTGCTGGGGTCGATTTTGCCTTTCGCTGGTATCGTTCGTTCAGAAGTAATTGCATGGACCGTCGGAAACCTTCTCGGTCTCGGTCGAAATAATTATTGTTAATAAGTCGGGTTCGTTGGCAAGCCTTTTCCTTCTACTTTTTCAACTCCTTCTGGCTGCGCAGCGTTTCTGTTCGAATATTCCAACCATCCCCCCCCGCACTCTCTCCACCCTTGAAAGAACATTTTTCGCAATTCTCAGCGTCGACAGGAAAACCCGTATATCTGTGTCTTTCGATGGTTCGCTCTGTGTCCATCACTCCACGACCCCTCTACTCTCTACTAGTACTACCGCCTATCGGGCTCGTTCTTTCGTTTTTCAGAGTCATGACTGTATCTTTTAGTCGATATTGTCATTTCCGGCAGAGTTGCTTTCTTCTCCTCTCAACCCTTGTCTGGGGGCGGTGGTTCTCGCTTTCAATCCTCCGCAACCCCCTCTTCTCCCTCCACACCCACCAAATTTACACACCGCACCACCCCAACATCTTCTGTCGGTGCCTCTCCCGGTGGTGAAAATGTTCCGCTTTTCCTTCGCAATACACCCACGTCGCCCCCCCTTCAAACTTTGTCGTGTTGTGCGCTGCGCTGCACGGACCCAGGCCGACTACGGCGACATGAACTCGGAGATGCTCTTCAGCGCCTTCCTCGACGACGAGACCCGATCCCAGCTGTCCGACTACGACGCCCTCGCCGTCATCCCGTCGTCGGTCCTGTCCAAGAACGACCCTTCCGTCGCCGACCCCGTCGTCTCCGTAGACGCCCTCTACAGCCTGGCCTTCGACGGCCAGACCGACAACCCCGACGATGACTTCTGGGTCAAGTCGCTTTCCGTGGGAGAAGGCGGAGACGCCGAGGGCTCCGGTTTCAGCGGGGATGGCGCGGCCATCTACAACAACGACGACGAGAGCTTCGTGAGCTACGTTCGCGCCGCGAACGTAAAGCGGCGGCGACAACAGCAAGAGGAGGTCAGCGCCGAGGAGTCGGTGACCACCATCGATACCTTCGGCGCGGCGCTCATGTACACCCTGGAAGACCCGCTCTACGAGGACTATCCGGCCAAGTTCGTGATGGGGGATCTGGTGAGTTTTGTGGGTGCTTTCGCCCGACTTGTGAACGAAGTGATTCGACGGGGTCTTCTACAATGAGTCAAGTTCGTTGTGGTTGTTCTGTTTGAAGAAACAATAGCTGTACCCTGGGGCTTTGTCTAAACGTAGAGAAGCGAGGCTCACCTGACATGGTCAATCTCACGCGCCGGCTGACTGGTGCTCGTTAACTAAACGCCGCGGTACGCCCCCGTTTGAACGCCATCGGCAAACCATCACCATCTTGGGCAAGCTTTCCTACGGAGGTAGCAGCAACTACGACTTCAAGGCCGACCTCCACGACACGCGAGGTAGCGACGAATACGATTTCAAGGACAAACACCAATTTTCGGAACCCAAGTGGAAGGCGGCCCGGAACTGGCGCGGCGACCCGGAGAACCGGGTCCAGCCCAAATGGCAGGAGCAGGAAAAGTGGCGCGGCGACCCGGAGAACGGGGTTCAGCCCAAATGGCAGGAGCAGGAAAAGTGGCGCGGCGATCCCGAGAACGGCATCGAACCAAAGTGGAAATCCGACGGGTGAGGAGTGTGGCGAGACCTTTGTGCGGGGTCCACCGCCCGTCTTTGTAGTTCAGCGTCGACTGTGTGAAACCAGTCAACCAAGTCAAGTCTCAGTTTGAAAGCAACAAAAAACAAAGGATGTATACCTGTTGGTAGTTGGAACAGGAGCAAGAATCGTGCTCTTACCCGACAGTGGGTAAGCCACATGGTCCATACACCCACCAGGGTAAGTAACATAGCCCCTTTTCCGTCCCGACCCGCTCGTCTCTCCGACCCGGCCCCCGTCATAGCTGCTTCGACGGCTGCACCTACACGAGCCACGATGGCACCAGGGGTCGCGTGTGCGACCTCTCTTGCAAGACCGGGGAGCCCTACGGTACCTACGGGTGCGCGGCGAAGAGCCGTAAGTACGGGCTATCCTGCCGCCGGTGCTACAACGATGTCGCCAAGGCCCTCAAGAAAGACACCCCCGAACATCGCGCCATCATGTGAGATAAATATTGAGATTAAAGAGATTGTGTAAAGAGAGGAGAGAGAGAGAGAGAGAGAGAGAGAGAGAGAGAGAGA